GAGAGAGAGAGAGAGAGAGAGAGAGAGAGAGAGACATTACTGTCAAACACATTGATATACACTTTGAAGTACTCCATCAACTGTCTGCCGGTGACCCGACGGCCGCCGATCTCCTTCACGACCACATTCTTCGGGTCTAACATCAGCGGCACAAACGTCTTCAGAGAGTTGACAAACTCCGAGTCAATATCGGCCGTTCGGCCGTCAAAGTGCTCAGTAGTGGCCACTTTGCCGCCCGGATATGGCATCACATAGCAGCCAATATCGCTAAAACACGATTGAATAAGTCTCATGATTCTTCCCATTTCTGCCGGTTGGTGCAACCTTTTCATCAGTAGACTCAGATCGCCTTTCTGATCGTACGGGTTTTCGTATGGGATAATCCAGTCTTGAATGAGAAACATTAGCTTCTGGAAGGGTGTCTCGCCGTTGGCCTCGACGGCCAGGCGTCCGTACTCTGCAAAAACGTCCAACATTTCTATGTCGTTCTCCTGGAGATTGTCCGTCACATTAAACACTGTATATATTTGGAAGAACACTTAATTAATACTCAATTAAGTTAAATAACAATTAAATTATTAATAAATATGAAACAAAAAGACACTGATTGTTTTGGGTACGAGAGATAAATCATTGATTAATACTAAACAATCTAATTATTTATTAACAAACAAATCAATGCTTGTGTTCTCACAACATGTATGATGTAGTGTAACCAGCGAATTAATTAAAAGTACATACCCTGTATTGACGAGGTCATAGTGGACAACGCGAACAGAGTGGCCGAGTCCTTGACGGTGTACTCCGAGTATAACGCCCTCTGAGTGTCCATCAAAACGATGGCCACCTCCTGGCCGTCATCCAATTTGACGCAAAACGGCTCCGACCACATCAGTATACCTGTGGTAACCCTTTCACTGCCGCTCCTCCACGAGAACCCCTTGGGTGAGGTGTCTGTGGAGCCGAGCCAGTCAGGGGTTGTGCCGCAACCCGACTGCAGGTATCGCAGGAAAAAGTCCCGCATAATGGACTTGCCTATAAGTGCCCACCCAAACGAGTAGGTACAATTTGAATACAAATAATTATATGTTTAATCATAACTTAACCTTAACTCCAGGCGACTATATTTAAAGATTGACATTATAAAATATACTAGTATATTTTCAATACATAACTTTATAAACCAATAATGTACTCTATAATGTAAACCTGTGACAGTTTTTAAGTTATAAATGATTTTACAATATTATTTGCCAAATTTATTAGCTAATTATTTATAAACAGATTTTAATGTAGTAGAATTAAACATGCTATTATCATGATAATAAAATATTTCCTAACTATAAAAGTGGGGCTCTTTTCTATCTACTGTAGATACTTCAGAATTATATGTTTATAGAATAACTTTGTATGTTATTAATTTCTCCGCACCGTCCGTACAGTACAATAAGATAACAATTTCAAACTGACCGCTATGAAAGTCGCCGGCAATGCTGACCACCACAACGGGTTTGTCGCGGATCGAGTCGCGCAATAAAATGGCCGACAGAGCCTCCAAATCGAGTTTAACCCGCCCTTCAGCACTCACTTTGAGCACCTGTATGGGCGCTCCGGGGTATCGCTGATCAATTGCTAAACTATTATGCTTAAATGCTGTAATCTTGGAGTCCTTATAATGAACATTGTGTTTTTGACTTTTATTCAAATGCTCACGTGATTTATTATTTAATTTATAATAACTTGCTATATCGGTATTATTTAATTTACAATTAAAAAACTTATAGAATAATATGTTTTCATTAACTTTAAGTCTATTAATAGTTTCATTGATTTGCTCATTGTTTCCCCTAATTATGTGTATATCGACTGACCAGTAGTTGTATTCATTGAGTACTCGACCACTAGTCGGCCGATTGAATGGCATTGACTGAAACATTTGGCCAATTATTTCAAATAATTTGCTGAAATTGGCTAAAAATATAGTAGATTTATACATTTCCATTGGATTCTCACTAAACAAAGTATTGAATAAACAATTCTTAAAATTAAATTAAATTATTATATAATTAATAAATTATAGCAAACCTATCAAACAACTCAAACAAATTCATTGCAATCACTCCCAGGCTATAGATGTCTACCTTATTGTTATACCGGCGCTGATGTATTTCGGGTGCCATATATGCATGGGTTCCGAGATTAGAGGTGTGGCCAATGGATGTGTTCATGTGATCGGTAGCCAAACCAAAGTCACACAGTTTTATGAATCGATTATTAATATTATTCACTGATATCAACACATTTGCCGGTTTGAGGTCCCGATGGATAACCGGTGGACACGAGTCGTGTAAATACTGTACACTTTCTAAGAGTTCTCTAAATATTTCACAACAAATGAAATATTCGATGCAATCCATCGGGTCTTTCGGTTCTCTTCCGAAGACAATGTGTTTTGTGTTGAGAATTGTCTGAAGATTTTGTGTATAAAAATCCATTTGAATGAACAGATGATTGTCTTCCAGCCATGAGTTGCGGTAATTCACCACATATTCTGACCGTAATTTTGCTAACTTTTGCACCTCATTGAGTTTGTCCTGACGTTTATTATCATCATAAATGTCTGCAATTCATGTAATATTTATTATAATTAAATAATTTATAATTGTATGCATAAAATTATTAACTTACCAAGCAACTTAATAACTTTAATCGCGTATATTTCCTGATCTAATTTATGCTTAACTTTATATACATCACCAAAACCTCCGCTACCGATGTGTAACAACTGTTCAAAATTATCCATAAAAAAGTTTTTGCTGGACTTGTTATTAGAAACTATAGAAAGAGTAATTTTAAATTCATTACAAATATAACTATTACCATGGTGAATTAATGATGTGATAATTACCTGTCGCAAGGCTTTGTGAGTGTTCACTCGTATTTGACTGATTAGACGCCATTTATATAATTTTATAATAAAACAATAATGATTAGCAACCGTTTATGATAAATATAGATATTACATTTTAATTTTTACGTCTATTACTATTTTTGTAACATTTGAATTACACGTGTACATATTTATAACAGTATATTTAATAAGTAAACATTTTATACATTTTAAATTAATTAAATATAATTATTAAAATTTCAGAACTAAATATAACGATATTATAAAATATATATTTTAATAAGACGTAAAATAACAATTACATCGTTAACAATACATAAATGAAACGCTTTTAATCTCAAATACAATAGTAAGCAAAAATCGTTGGAAACACTGATTAAATGGCAAAGAATTTCATATAATATGTGATAATAACTATAGTTAAATATTTAATGTAGAATAAATTTTTTATAACATGTACCTAATATAATGTTAATACTTTAAGAAATATATTTATAATTAAGATTAATATGGCTAAATTATATGAGACTTTTAAAATATTTATAACAATACATTTTTACTTAAAAATGTTTTGTTTGTTAATTTTTTGTTTATCTTGTTTTAAAAATTATGATAGTAATTATAGTTACGTTGTGTAATATAATCCTTATTATTTTGTATTTAAATAAAAGACAATTTTTTCACATAAAAATATGTATTGAAAAATTTGCGCAACTTTTATCATGAACATTTTATTAACAAAACTCAAAAAACCATGATACATTGAGCCGTAAACGTGGCGATTTGGCCGTTGCTGTGGTTACCGGCGCCAATCTAAATGTCGGAACAAGAGACCGCCATTAGTTTGACCACAATGAGAGTTAATATATATAATACCATAATATTGTATAATATGCGCAGAATCTTGGTGGAGCAACAGTTGATGGATATTAGGAAGCTTTGTATTTGGCTTATTATTTAGCAAAGAATACGACAGAAAAAATCAAATACTTGGCCAAAACACTGCCCCAACAGTTGGACGGTTTTCCAGTATTTTACTGTTAATTAGAACCGCCGATAAATTCTAAAATTAGGTTAAATAGTAAAAGGCATAAATTAAACTATATAATGATTTTAATCCAAATTAAATTATAATGTATTTTGAAATAAGATTAATTATTTAATTATACAATCATACTTATGGTTGTTATAAAAATGATAACTGTAAACGTTTATTTTCAATTAAAATTTTTAAAAAATTCAATGTTTTTGAATAATTAAATATTTTGATCTATATAAAATATATAAATATTAATATTTTGCATATTGTCAGACATAATATTATCTGATATCATTATATACATGTTTTATTATTTATTAATAAATCATTTTATTATTGTTTTAATTTTGACAAAATATATTCATTGAAGACTTTATCGTTTCCTTTCATTATGTTATTCACAACAGTCTTAAAGTTGGGATCAGTTGTCACACAATTGCTATCAATAGACCACTCATTATATGATTGCAATACTTGTCGACAATCGGGTCTATCATTCGGTTTCAATGATTGCATTGAAATCAACAATTTTTGTAATTCAGTCATCGATTTGAATAGATTTATGTCCGATAAATACAATCGTAAACTAGAAATCATATAAATGTTGTTATATTATAATTTTTAAATGTTTTGCAAATATTAATAAATAATTTTAAGTATAAGGTTCACGAAATTTAACTTACAATTTATTTGTTAATTGCATATCAAATATATTTTCTCCGATTTTGGCCGCACTGTAAACATCTGTCTTGTAATCAACAGTTTGTCCGTCAGTTTCTTCGGGCGATAGATATTCGGGATCTCTCTTAGAGGTCAGACTCTTAAAAACATGACTCAAACCAAAGTCACATAATTTTAAACACAAATTCTCGGCTTTGCCTCCGATTAACACATTTTCGGGTTTGAGGTTTCGGTGAATCACTGCTGGACTCAAATCATGCAAATGTTGGACACATTTCAACAGTTCTGCAAATATTTGACACGAAATGAAAAATTCCGACGAATTCATGGCCTCTTCGGCCGATTGGCGACCAAATGCTGTGCCTTTGAGTGAAAGTATTTTTACTAAACTGTGTGAACACAACTCCATTCCTACGTAAAATTTGTTGTCTTCAAACCACGTCTGCATATATTGGACCACATTTTCGATGCAAATATATGATAATTTGTTCATTTCAGAGATTATATTTTTATTGATTTTATTATCTGGAAAATAATATATTAATTTAATGAGTTGTGAACTAAATTAATAGATACTGACATTTATTAAATAAAAAATTTGCTGTTTATAAAATATTTTCTATTCTTTTATTATTTTTATCTCTTTTAAACATCTTTTATATTATTTACAAAAATATATTAGTAACAAAGTATAAAATTGTTTTTAACGAATTTACTTACAATTACTATTATCAATGATTTTAATCGCGCATTCATTTCTGTCTTTATGTTTAACTTTGAAAACAGTGCCAAAACATCCCGAACCCAATGCACACAAGTCATCGAAACAATGTTTATATTCAGATAATTTTACATTATTTTGGTCTATAAAAAATTTAAATAAAACAATTTATTATGAATTTTGGCTAAAAATATTTGAAAGCATATTATATTTTAATTTTTTAAAACTAAATTTTTAACGAATTTACTTACAATTAATGTTATCAATGATTCTAATCGCGTATTCATTTCCAGTCTCTTTATGTTTAACTTTGAAAACAGTGCCAAAACATCCCAAACCTAATACAGACAACTCATTGTATAAACGTTTATAATGAGATAATGTAATATTACTTTTATCTAATAAGTAATTTAAATTTAAAAAATTGTTAAAAATTGTGATTAAGAACATCTAAAATCATACCATATTTTAATTCTTTAATTATAGCAAATATTTTGTTTGAAAAATGTATGCATTTTCTGTAGAATTCGTTAAATGTATTGTAATTATAGTTTTTATAATCGTTTAAATGTATTGTTTTATAAGTCATTTGTAATTCACTTAAACAGTAATCAAATAGATTTATATAATTAGTTTCACACAATTTATTCATCGAATCAATTGTATATATTTTATTCCTTGATATACCAATTACACGATGATTATTCTTATTGATTGTAAAACATGTATATAAATCTAGCAGTGTTGTGTTTATATTGGTCACTTTGGTCGCAATTTTATGTATTGACAAAGTTTTATAATTTTTATATTGTTTGCCACAAAAATACACAAATCCATCGTTTGTTAGGAAATACGTTTGACTGTGTGTTGAACATATCGTTTGAATGTAATATAAATTATCAATAATTTGTGGTTTGAATACATTATCCGATATATTGTGTCCCAAATGGCTGTTATTTTGACCCCAACTGAAGACTCGGCCATCAGTTGTGACGGCAAACGAAGAATAGACACCACAATAAATGCCACGTATTTTATATTCAATTCCATTGTCTATAAATTGTATTTTCATTGGACTTATTATGACTTCAGTCGAACGCTGTTCTCCACAACCCGTCTGTCCGTATCTATTATAACCCCATCCGTAGACACAGTCATCTCCGGTGACCACAAGTGAGTGATAATCACCACAACTAATATCACGGATAACAGGATTATTAGGCAATGATATTATGTTTGGCTGTAAATTTTCTATATCTACTGGTTGGGCCAACTGTGCCCACCTATTGCCTCCCCAACCGTGTATACAATTTTGATTATTAATTGACAGAACAAAATTATAACCACAATAAAATTGCCGTATATTTTGTTGACATAATTCTGGTATAATATGTGGTGTATTGACAGCCATATTGTGTCCTAAACCGAGTGATCCGTAATAATTAGATCCCATGCCGTAAACCATATCATCGTTTGTCACGTACAATATATTATTGCCTTTGCTATTAAAAACATGAAATAACTTGATATTATTGATGTCTAGGGTACTATCGATAGTATTATAATCATGGGCAATATCTAAACTATTATCATCAATAGCTGTAATATTTGTATCTTTGCAATGATTCATAATTTGTTTGGTCTCATTTAAATCCTCGCGTAATTTCTTGTTTAATTTACCATCACTTTTAATATCGATTTTTTTAAATTTACAATTAAAAAACTTATAAAAGAACGTGTTTTCATTGGTTTCAAGAGTTTTACTTATTTTATCAAATTGTTTATCGTTTTCAGTAATAATTTGTTTATTGACCGACCAGTAGTTGTAATCGTCGAGTACTCGACCACTAGTCGGCCGATTAAATGGCATTGACTGAAACATTTGTCCTATTATATCAAACAATTTGTTGAAATTGGCCAAGATTATGGTTGAATTATACATTTCCATTGGATTCTCACTAAACAAAGTATTGAATAAACATATTTCAAAAATTTAAAATTTGATTTAACTTTTATATAAAGATTTTAATTAATAAATAATAGCAAACCAATCGAATAACACAAACAAATTCATTGCAATCACTCCCAGGCTATAGATGTCTACTTTATTGTTATACCGGCGCTGATGTAATTCGGGTGCCATATATGCATGGGTTCCCACATTACATGTGTGGCCAATGGATGTCTTCATGTGATCGGTAGCCAAACCAAAGTCACACAGTTTTATAAACCTATTGTTGTTATTGTTTTGGTCTATCATTACATTCTGTGGTTTGAGGTCCCGATGGATAACCGGTGGACACGAGTCGTGTAGATATTGAACGCTCTCTAAGAGCTCTTTGAATATTTCACAACAAATGAAATACTCGATGCAATCCATCGGGTCTTCCGGTTCTCTCCCGAAGACTATGTGTTTGTTATCAATAATTGTCTGCAAATTTCGAGCGTAGAAATCCATTTGAATAAACAGATAATTGTCTTCCAGCCATGAGTTGTGGTAATTCACCACATATTCTGACCTTAATTTTCGTAAATTTTGGACCTCTTTTAGTATTAACTGTCTTTTATTTTCACTATAAGTGTCTGTAATATACGTGATATAAATTAATACAAAATAATTGGCTTTATAAATGCTTTATATAATCTGTTTTTATAAATTGCAATTACCAAGGAACTTTACAATCTTAACCGCATACACCTCTTGCTCTACAATATGTCTCACTTTATACACTTCGCCGAAACCTCCCGACCCTATTGGTACTGACTCTTCAAAAATATTTTCAAAAATACTTTTGTTTAATTTGTTGTTATCTATTAGTATAGTAATGAAAATGTAAATTAAAATAAAGTTAAAAATAACATTTTAAATAAAATGTATGTGATAATTTTACAATCAAATATTTAATAAAATTATTTAAGTATTCCTAAAGCACGTTTATTCACTTATTTAATGGAATAACTAAATTGGACATTGCAGACCACTATTTTATGGTTATAAAATTAAATTCCCTTATATAGCTTATAACATAAGTTAGCAAATTGACAGCTTAATCATTTATAAAATAAGTGATGATGGATACTCTTTACAATCGACAAGTTGTATTTTTTAATACATTATGTTATCAATTCTATAATTTACAATGTGTTCAGCTTTTATATGAAAAATAATTACGGTTTTAACTTTTAGTGTAAAATGTGAACACAGCCGCCATTTTTCATAATATAAATTATGGTTAATTAATAAAACTATTTTAAACAAAATCACAATTAGTAGTTTAACATTATCACAATTTTTATATATGAAATCTAAAATTTAATTAAGTAATAAATTAATGCTTTACTAGACACTTTTTGTAATGCTAAATCTTTTACTATAATAAATCTTTTACCATAATCACTAACATTTAAGAAATTACCCTTTTCAATTAGCAACTTTTAGGTTACAATGTTCAATTTCTAAAAATATATTTTATAGTATAATAGTACCTGTTAAAGTAGATTTTGAAGTTTGATTTGTATTTGATTGGTTTGAAGCCATTTGTATAATAATATTACTTTCAGTTTATTTTAATAATAAGATTAGCAGTTATAATAATTGTAGACTTTACTAAACTTATAATTTTATTAATTAATATTCAAAATATCTTTTGAATTACTAAATATTTTCATAAATATTTAACAAAATATTATCACAATTTGTAAATTTTTAAAAAATAAATACACATTTAAATTGACTAATGAATTAATAGAAAATATTTTAACAAATAATAAAAATATATAAATAATTGGGTCGTTATTAACACTTAAATAGAAACTTTTAGTATAAATTGTTATAATCAATGAAAACCATTGGAAACAACGATAATATAACAAAGATTTTCAAACAATATGTCATAATAAAAACGTTTAATGTAAAAACGCTTTATTTATTGGGTCATAATTTTTTTTGGTAGTACAGTATTAATGCATTGAATATAAGTTTGTCGTTAAATGTAAAATAATATTTTATTATTAATGTTTCATTTTTATAAAATAATTATCATTTAAAATAATATAAATGTAGAGGGCTTAATTGAAATTAATTGGTAATTGCTAATGCCTGATAAATTAATTTTATTTCAAAATTTTTTGATTGACTATTTGTTAATTGTGCTACGTTACGCAATTAAATTAACTAGATGCATAATGCTTAACATTATATAATATAAAATAATTAATTGTAATTTAAAATTAATTATAAAAACAAGTAATTTACACCATATTTATCACAATAACATAAAATTTTTAATACATATATTTTAATAATTTTAAATATACAGTTTTTAGCAAAAATAAAGGCTGACTATAAAAATTCAAAATAGTATTTGACTATTTTAACATATATTATTATAACGACGTCAATTATAATTAACCATATATTTGGACTGATATCGGATTGATATACTGTACATCATTTGTATATCCAAAAGTATTTAATTAATAAATCATTTGCAATTTATTTTATAAATATAAAATACAATTAACCAATAACATCGTTGTGTACGAGTAGTTTTGATTATAATAAATTATTTCATATTGATCTAAATATGATATATTTTATTACTAAATATATCACGTAATTTAAAAATCAATTAATTACAAAATTTTTAGAAACTTTATTAAAATGTGCAAATTTAACTTGAACCATATAATTTTATTTCAAACATATAAATATATTGTGTGCGTGCAATAAAACATGATAAATCAATATATCAATAACTTCATTATTATTATTCAAACTGTTTTATTAATAATTATGAGTGCATAATAAAATATTATTATTAATACACTCCCATTCAAAGCTAGATAAACCAGTGTTTAATTATACTTTAATTTCTCCCCCACATTAACTTTTACTTTCCCCACGTATATAAACCACAGCCCCTGCGACCGCTCATTACACAGTTTTTAGTGAACGCATTAAGACATTACATATTTCCTAAATTAATTTTAATTTAATAAATATTTTACATTTTCATTATATTGTGTCAAAGATTTAATTCCGAGAGCCGGGAGACGGACACAGACGGTGTGAGTATAGCTCGGCAGGAGGGGGTGTGGACTCACTTCCCTCCCGCCGGACAAGTACTACATTTAAGCCAAGTCTGGTAAGTGTATGTCAGCCCTCAGTATCAGCCCTATTAACTGTAGTTTTTAATGACATTACATATTTTTAGCTATATATTTATATAATTGCTAATGTACTCATATACGTATGTAATCTTTAAATATCTTATTTCCCTGACCTGTACATACCTGTACCCATTAACACCAGCTCTACCTTCCCGATTTATGTGGAATGTAAATTTAATATAATTAAATTTATTAACAATCATTTTACACTTGTATAATACTTGGTTTATTAGGTTTTTATGACTACATGGTTCTAATTGACGATCAACATTAATAGTTACCAGGTATTATAGCCTGAAGTAAGTTATTCTTATTGTCAAAAATTATAAATCAATATATTGATGACTACATTAATGATTAATATTACACAATCTAATAATAATATCGCATATATCAAAAGTCGCCTTATATTTAATGCTTTACGTGTATAGTAATCAATAAATTAAAATTTTTAAATGAAGCATAATACATTGATATATGAAAATAACTTTTAAAAAATAGTCTATATAAAGTAACAGCGCATGGGATCAAACATTTTAAATCAATATATTGATAACTCTACTGATATTAAAACATTAAATAAAAATTATATTTGAAAAGTAAGGTTAGCTGTAATCGGAGAGATATTATTAAAAATACCTTTATATTACCTAGAACCTCCGATTTTGATGATTAAATGATCAAAAATTGAGATAAATATAATTAAATATTATACATTTGATCCAAAGGTAAGTCATTCTTATTGTTATGTTATGCTATGATTGTTGATAATTATAAGAATTATTATTATTTAATAGAATTAATAACTATTATTTAGATAATAATAATTGTATGTTTAAATAATATAGAATATAAGGCCTTATAATTGAGAAGATGGTAAAAAATATTGATAAAATAGGGCTTAACATAAATAAGTCAATCGTAAGCAATGCCCACACATTCGAAGGGACCGATGATATCGTGAGGTTTTCACACAAATATTTTATAATTGCCTCAAAACTCGAGGATTACATGAATGGCGTTTACAATAGACGCCGACAATTGCCGCTATTTATGGCCCGATTTGTGCTATTAGTAGTGGGCGTGAGGTTTGCCGTCTCAGCGGCGGTAAACACCCGTGAAATCCTGGCCCTACTGTCGGACTCTAACTATATGTTCGGTAATCCGCGGGTATTCTCCGCAATGATGAGTATATCGGCGTTTGTTATACTATTCATTGGAATAGTTATACAATGGTTGGAAACGATGGGCAAATTGTATTTTGTCAATTTATTATATCAATTAAAATGTGGTCGTTTCAAACTACCAATGAATAGCGATCATAATAAAAAGTATAATTTAATTAGCAATTGGCTATTAAAGTATTATTTGCGGCAAACATTTTGGTCGCTTATGTTTGTAACCAATGGTGCGATTTTGTGGTCTATGTTTAAGGCTTATTATTTTGATGCAGATTCTGGTTTCACAATACTGTCGATCATATTCTGGTCCATTTGTAACATCATTTGGACGTTTCAATATTATGGTATGGTTTGTATGGCATTCCTCTTATGGCATATCAGCACAACTTATTTGAAATACAAATTCATTGAAATCAATCGAGAGATTGAAATCTGTATTCAGTATAATAGCGAGAAAACACTTATGAAAGCCATTGACAAACATTATTTAATGGCTCAAATTGCTCATGATCATAATATTTTATGGAAATATATTTTGTTTATTGTGTATTATGCGGGCACTCCGGCCATTGAATTATTATTATACCTAACGTTTGCAAAGTACACTACATTTAATGTCCGTTTTATCACTGGTTTCCTATTTGTAGTACTCTTTGGTGTGGTATTTATGCTAAACTATATGTCCACTCGATTCACAACACCTTCGCATAAATCTCTACCCCTTTTGTACGCATATATGAAACGCCGGGGAATTTCAGTCCGAAATCGTATTAAACTTTTGGCATTTATAGAGAGGTTGTGTTCACACGATATCTGCTTTTCATGTCTAAACTTATTCAAAATGAGTTCACTTGAGTTTGCATTTTATGTTTACGCCGTTGTCTCTAATTATATGCTTATCATTAACTTTTTTTAAAAATAATTAACAATAATTAGAGTTACCAGATGTCAATTTTTGCAATGGATTGTCCAGTTTTGTAGTGTTTGGTCCAGTGTTCAGTGCACAGGGTAAAATAGGACACTTTAATCATTAAACTAATATAAATTACTGATTATATGTCAATTTGACTTATATAGAAATTAAAACTATTATATTTAATTGCAT